CTACCAGCACCTAGGAGCTACTTTTTAAATAGAGAACAATTGTTGCCTTATTTCCTATATCTCCTTATTTCCATAAGCCCCTCAATCTGATTATTGGTTATGATACAGTTCAGGGTCTCCAGAGATTAGCATCACTTTAGAGGCTTTAGCTAATAACTCATAGGAAGCCTTGGTATTTCCTTTTCCTTATGCACACTCTGAAAAGCATCTGTAGGTCCTACTGGGGAAGGTATGATGGAAGATTCATAGCACACACCAGTGGCTGCAGGATCATACCTCAGAGGTAGCCTACCTTCCCTTAAGCTGGGCAATAGGTTGAGAAACCCCACCATAGCAACTCAAGTTAGGCTTTCTAGCAGACCTAGAATTTTTTTCTACCTAGATATGGCAGGCAGCATCTGATAGGCTTCTCAATTATTTCATTTTTAGGATTGCTCTGATTAGCCATCAACAAAGATCCCTGTGGTTCAAAAATCTTTAAATTACCATTTAATTCCTGTGGCTTATTGTAGTAGTTGCACTTGCCTTGTTTCAGAAAATTAAGCCCTGTCACCTGAACTTCACTGCTCTGAGATCGCATAATTCACATTAAGATCAGGTAGTCAAATTCCACTGCAGAATTCTCCTCTATCATTCCCAGCCTACAGAGCACAGGCCCACAGAAATCTTCAAGTATGCTGGTGACCCTCTCACCAGTGCATTTCTTAATGCCTTGGAGTATGTCTGCACAAATGCCCCTAAACCATATATAAGGGTTTCACTCCTCCCCTACTAGTGTCTTACTTGATTGCAAAAGCTACTATAGGTGGAGCATTTAATAAGCAGTGAAACTGCAACATTATGAGGACCTAGGCTTGGTTCTCAGCCATATCTACCCTAATATGAGGGACTCCTTCAAACTTGCCATGGAGGCCTTCTGGTGCTCTATATGTGTTCTCTATTTTATTTTCATAGCTTCCAATGTCCTTTTTCTATGCATACTCTTTAAGGTCATGAGATGAACACAGGTGACTCCACAACCTTTTTCATAATTATTTTGGCCTCAATGCTTAAGTGACATAGCCACTTGATTTCCCAAAGCTTTGGGTTCTACCTGCACTTCATCTCGTGCCATCAGTGCTGTTTGAGTAATCATGATGCTACTACATGCCATGTACCTGTGAACCCCTACTAACACCCGCCTTCCACTTTCCTGACCTCCATTATAAGGAGGTGATTCTTTCCTTTCTCAAATAAATGAGCAGCCCAATTCCTGGAGTAACTTCTTATGTCTGCTTATGTATATAAGAAGTGCATGAAAAAGGGGTCACATTCACATTGGAAATTATGAGGGGAGTTTTTAACAAAAGAGAATACATAAAAATTGGGGAGGATATTAGAGAACTACAGAGATAGTGTAATAAAGCATGGCTAATAAAAGTGGGATTGCCAGCAGTAAGCCTAGGGACAAAGGCAAAGACAGGTTACTAAAACTTGGAGATACAGAGCCTATGTGAAGAGGGCCACCTTTTAGGAACCTTGATAGAAGAGATTCCATCAGGATCTGATGACACAGCAGGGGACAAGCTGGGGGGGGGCAAAATTTTCTGACTACATTCTTTACTGCTGGTTTCTGAGCACAAAGGAGCCCTTTGATGTGGTCCATATAGGTAAGACTCCCCTGGGACACAGAGCAGGGTAGAGAAGTGTGGAAAGTGAATTAGGATTGGAAGATGAGGAGATATCCAGCAAATGGGTGAGGGCCATGCTAGTAGTACTGACCAGGAATTGTGCCTGCAGCTTTATTTACATGAGGAGGAGGGTAAAAGGCATATTGTTCTAGGAGGGTTAACTCTAGCAAGACTGAGATTTGCCTGAGCTGAAATAAGAAATGCACCCTCATGGCACCGACCCATAGTAAAAGCATAAAACATACTGGCTAAGAGTGTTGTTTTATAACCATGGGTCTGAGGGGTTTCATTGTCAACTTCAACTTCATTGTCAACTTCATTGATAACAGTGAGATTGATCTCGTCTTGGTGAACCTGTCTACCAAGAATTCTGCTACTGAGGCTGTCTACAGAGCAAGAATATGCCTACACAATCAGCAGTATACCAGAAACCTGGACTGAGACTCCATTTTGCATCATCTGGTTTTCTATACATACATTAATGTTTCCTGACCTGAAGGATAAAGTGAATCTTGTCAGAGCTCTTATAGAGAGGAAAAAACAACTGAAGCTCATAGCCGGCCACTCTGGATTCCTCACTATGAGACAGGTTTTGGTTATGATATACATATTTAATGCTGTCACTATATCACATTTATTTTTTTGCAATAAACTGTAGATTTGCAATCATCGCCATTTGAGGTCCCATGAGTCTTCTTTAGCAATAGAACTGTATAGCTGTCACAGTTATCATGGCATCTAGAGCAAGAAATACACCATACCGTGAGATACCTTGCTTTTGCCTTTGTTTACAGGCATGATTTTCTCTAAAGACACTTTCAGGATATATGCAATAGATATATTAATCCTTACCTTTATGGATTCATACTCCTGACCTTTGTTTTATAACTTAGAAAGGCCTTTATTTCCCCCTACCAAAAAAAAAAAATGAGACACTGTAACTTTTTCTTCTGCTTACCTTATGGTTTACACTTAATATGACTAAGATCATAATGAATATATAAATCAATGGTGATTAGCCTTTAGTGTGAATCAGAATCACCTAGGGAGCCTGTCAAAAATGGAGGTTCTAGAGCTCCACTCTGTGGATCCAAGTTGGAGGTCAGAAGTTCACATTTTCAACAAAGTCCTTTGGTGATTCTGATATGTGGCAAACCAGCACACTTTAAAAATTCATGAATAGATATCACAAGAATGGAAGAATAGGCACCACATGTACTTGCCATCAAATTGGAATTAACTGATCAACACTAAGGTGCTCACATGGCAGTAATATTCTTTAGGGATTGTAGAGTTGAGGGTGGGTAAACTCACAACTAAAGGACACAGTGAGCATGGTAGGGGGGAAACAGCATGCCTTAAAGCATGGTTTGGGTGTGGCAAAGTTATAACATGTAACCAAAATGTTTTTACCCCCATAATATCCTGAAATAAAAAAATTAAAGAAATTTTCATTAATAAAATGAGATAAGATTAAATTTGTGGTGCAGACACTTCTCCACAGTGTTCCTTTTAGAACTGCAAGTACATGCTGCCAGAGAAGTAGAGTCCACAGTTATTTATGTAAAGAATGATCTGGGACAAGAAATCTTGACTCAGCTATCATTATTTACACATTTATTAATATTAAGAACCTATTACCTGTCAGGAACTGTGCTAGGCATTAGGGGGTACCAGGAAAAGAACAGGCTGTGCTTTGAGAAGCAAAATCCAATTTTTCTCAACTTTTAAAAACTGCAGCCCATAGTCATCACAATTCAGGTATATACATGTACATATATACATAACTGAAACACAAATTTCACAAAACAATACTCATTCTACCTACCTGTAAGACAACCTAATATTTACTATCCGGTTCTGATCAATTTTATTCCATTCTATTTCATTAAAAAATATTACACGTCTTGACCCACTGAATTTGTTTTAAACTCTACTAATGTAGAGAAGTGAAACTGCAGTTTGACAAACACAGATTTAACAATCTGTGATGTAAATCCTATGTAGCACATATATTTATCCTTCTAGGCATATATTTCATGAAAAGGTGGAAGTGGGAAAGATAAGAGTCTCCTTGCAAATATGTGCTTCTCAAACCTTAATGTGCACAGGAATCACCTACAGCTCTTATTAAAATCAGAAAAGATTCTGATCCAGTAGATCTAGGGTGGAGACTTGAGATTCTACATTTCTAACTTATCTTTCAAGTGATGCCAGTGCAGCTGGTTCATGGGCCACCATTTGAGTAGCAATGAATACTGTAAAAATCACAAATTTGGGAAGATATGTTAAACTGGTAAAGTGGGACCTGTCAGGAGTTGCCCACAAGAGAATTTCCTCTAAGGAAAAAGTGCCACTCAAATTTTATCCCAGCTTCCCATATCTGAATCTGGTGGAGAGACAGCTGTATGCAGAAAAACAATTACAAACCAATAACACAGAAGCGATTGTTTTGTTAAAAAATCTGAAATCCCTCAGGGCCTGAAGGATCACTGAGCTTTTACCCTATTGGTTACATATAATTCTAAAGTGAAGAAAAGGGCTTTATCTACACTTCTATAGTTGTTATGGGGTGGGGTGAGTTATTTTGGCTCATTAGTGACTCCAGTGAAATCAACTGGGCTTTGTCACCTTGAGGATGTCAGCATATCAGCAGAAGTGATAGCCTTAGGAGGGTGCAGGACTTATGACAAGGGCATGAGCCCTTATGGTGCCCAGCAGACATGACATTATCCAGGGGAGGATGGCACCCACATTTTACCTTCCTGGTCTTAATCTGGGTACAGATAAGATGTACTCCAGTCCTTCTCCAAGTGTGTGATGAGCTCTTGTTTCTGCTAGTGCAGGGGAGAAGGTAGATGCCAACCCAACACACCTCACATACTCTGTACGTCATCTAATCCACTCAGCAATTCTAGGAAGCAAGGATTACCTCCATTTGACAGATGAAAAGACTGTTCCTTAGAGCAATGGATCTGTAATAACCACAGGTTGATTCCTCCAGATATGAATCCCAGAGGTAATGTGAATTTTACCTATCATTTTAAGTGTCTCCACTATCTTCATAAGCTCACTGAACAGTTCTTCTCATTTCTTTTTATATATTGTTTTTTGACTTTTAAAATTTTTTTTGTGTGAAGATTAACCTGTATTCTCTAGGAAAAATAAATAAACAGATGAGCAGAAAGAAAACAAAGAAATGAAATCATCCACTATCTTACAACTCAGAAAACCACTGTTAACCTTTTCATGAACAAAACTTTTTATTTTGCCTGTATAGATGTACTACATAAATTTATAGGTTTTTCCCCACAAAACAGACAGATTCTGTAGATGATAGTATAAGCTGCTTTATTTTTTCAAGAATCATAACATCTTTGCAATGCACATGGGTGAAAATCTGCTACTGAAACCTAGAGCAAACACTGCAGTTGGGTAAAAAGGCTACAGGTAAGGGTAACAGGAGGGACACCTAAAGCAAAATATTAGCATAAGGTTAAAGGGCCTGGTATATGCCTGTCAGGGACACTACACATAAGGAATGTCTTCAGTGTCCCTTCGTGGGGCCCTGCAGCCACCCCTGAATTCCCTTGGGCCCCTTGGATAGAAGGGGTCCTGTAAATTTCTTTGCATCCATAAAAATGCCCCTAACTTCTGTTTGCTTTTTCTCCTTTTCTCCTCCACCCTAGCCATATTGTCAAATTCTCTTATCATATCCTCATTGCTGAAATTCATATCATGGATGGCCTCTTTATATTGCTTGAGGTACTGAGCCAGCCCCTTGTTGGTTTTTCTTTTGGCTTTCCTGGGTATATCATCCTCAGCTGGGCGCTTTCCTGCAGCCTTTATTTCACTCTCTTGCTCTTCCTCACTGTCTGGCTCTCCATCGCTCTCTGGCTCCCCTTCCCTCTCTGGCTCTCCCTCCCACCCCAGCTGTCCCTTGCTCTCTGGATTTTCCTCCTTCTCTGGCTTTCTCTCCCTTTCTGGCTTTCTTTCACTCTCTGACTTTCCCTCACTCCCTGACTTTCCCTCACCCTCTGGCTTTCCTTTTTCTTCTGCCTTTCCCTCATCCTCTGGCTTTTCTTTATTCTCTAGTTCCTTATCTTCTGTCTTTCCCTTGTTTTCTGTCTTTCCTTCATTTTCTAAATTCTTATTTTCCAGACGTTCTGGTTTTCCCTCATGCTGTGGCTGTTCCTCATATTCCATCTTTCCTTGGTTCAAAGCCATTCCTTCATTTTCATTGTAGAGTTTTTCCATCGTTGAGATTTCCCCTCTTTTTCCTGTCCTGGGTGGGTAGGAGTAGAGGAAAGAGGAGACATGGGAGACTGAGGGCATGGGGAAGAAAGCAGGTCCGGATAACACTTGCATCTTGCCCCTGCTGAGGGTTCCCCTACCCTGGCCTGACCTCCAAGTGTGCCTTCTGCCCGCCCCTTACCCCACCGGTCCTCCCACACACGTGAGCCCACCATTCCCTGGCGGGAATTCCCGGCCACCTTCTCCACACTCCCTCCGCCTGGGCAGTCGGCCCCCAAATCTGCACAAGCTGTGCGCTCCACACTCTCAACCCTTCTGGGTCCCTGTCCCTGCCGCCCACCCCTTCACGGACCTGTGGGGATCCTGGACAGGTTGCTCCTCCTTCTCAGGCCTCGCAGAGTGCTGGCGAAGACAGACACGCAGACCTGCAGACAGACAGGAGACAGGGCAGGGGCTGCGCGCTCAGGGGGCTCACAGGTGTCCCTTTCCTGAATCCAGGCCCTTTTCACCCAACGTTTTCCTCCCCCACCTCCCCCGCACCCCAGCCGCCATTTCTCTCCAGGCCTTGGGCGCCAGACCAGGATGCTTTCCAAACTGCGTTGTGTCCCTGTGTCCCCCTCTCCTGGAGGCAACCTGCCCCATCACACCCCCTTTTCGTGGAGGTCAGCATGTCTTCACAGGCGCAGAGTGTGAGAGGGGCTGATTTCCAGAATATGTCTCCGTTTCGCCATCGCACTGCAGGGGCGTCCCCCCCCCCCAATTTCCAGATGTAAAATGGATGGAGAGCTCAGAGGGGGGATGAGAAGGCTAGCTGGGGCCGCTGCGGGGTCCTCCCGCCCCCCTCCTCACCAGTCCCCCAGATCCCTTCCCCGCCCCCTCCCGCTGCTCCTGGATCCTATTGCCAGCCACTCCACCCCCTGCCCCGGGTCCGCCGGCAGCGCCAGCCTTCACACTGACCTGCGGGCACCCGGGACAGGCCTGCGCCTCCTTGGGTTCGCGGAAGCCCGCTGGATGCTCTCCCGCAGCTGGGACAGCTCAGAGAGGTGATTCCACACCGGCGCCGGCGCTGGGACCGGACCACAGGGCGGGCGCGGGGGCTGGTGCCCACGTCTGTGCCTGGTGGGTCACGTGAGCACCGCGTCACCGGAGCTCAGCCCCCACTTCCCAACCCACTTCATCCCCCATCCCTGAGAGACCAGGAAGCTGAGGTTGTGGATGTGGGGGGCTTAGTATGCGGGGGTGGGGGGGTGGGGCTAGGGGGGACACGTCACCGAGAATAAGAGGAGGAGGGGAAGGCTTTCTGATCCCAGGTGATTTACCTAACCCATCGCACAACATCCCTTTCAGATGCCCATTATCACCAGGTGTGACAGCTGATCAGAGAGGGTACCCTACTTTGCCAAGAGCTTTCAGCTCCTGAGCCCCACAGCCTTCTTTCAAAGCTGCTTCTGCCTGACTCCAGCCCAGGTGCTGGTGCCTGCCAGCCAGAGAGTTGAGCTGCCACCTTGAGTGCTGGTGCTCCTGGGATTCTGTCCTGGGCCTCCTCTCTCCTAAGTCCCCATGTTCACTCTCCCTGGGTGATCTCCTTGGCCTCCCTCTAAACACCACTGACTCTCAAATCTACATCTCTAGGATATTTACTCCTCCAAATCTCAGATTAGCCTTGCCAACTGTCTACTGGACATCACTACTCGAATGTCCCTGAGGGACTTCAAAGTCCATGTACCCCAAACTGATTTCACTAACTTCCTTCTCATCATTTCCATTGATCTCTCTCCTCACTTGAAACTTACCCTCCAACATTTGACCTGTTTCCATAGAGAATGTCAGAAAGCTAGAAAAGAAAGCATTAAGACGTTTTTAAATATGGATCTCAGATGCACAGAGGTATCATAAATGTTGGTTCATAACACACCGTTATAGTTGACCCATGCTCGTCCCTCTTCCTTCCCTTTCCTTACCATCTTTTCCTTTCCTTTCCCTTCCCTTCCCTTCTTCCCTTTACTTTTATATTTGTGAAACCACCACCCAACACAAAAACTAAAATATAACCATTCTTGTAGTTTCTACAGTGTAGTATCATTCATATATTATACATATATATATACATGCACACATATATGTGTGTATATTAATGTATTTGTGTATAAATTTGGGCAACTACTATTTTTATTTTGATTTGCAAAATGCCGTATCTTGATTGCACGAGCATGGATTATGTGAGCAATACAACCAATTCTGATATATTTCTGCTACATAGCTTTCTTAATTCAGTAAAACATCAATCTTCCTACAATACTCTGCTTCACCAAAATGTGTATTGGCATTATGACCCCATAAATAATTTTATCCTCAATGTTGAATTTTTAACTGAATTCTCAAAGCTGAGTGTTTCTTTTTCATAAGTACAAACTTTTATAAAATTATTATTCCATGAATTTGATAAAAATATCAAATCATTGTTGAAAAGAAGCAATTTTCTGTTTTAATCATTTGATAATACTGATTTTAAGCTGTCATCAATAATTGTTTGTTAAGTTCTTTTGCTAACGGAGCCAGCATATTAACTGTCACTCCTATTTGTAAACATGTACACAAAAACTTGGAATTCAAAATTAGTGTAATTAAATTAGAAGAAATGTTATTTTATCTTCATTAGAAGTTCTGTTCACAGAATGAGAAGTCAACAGAACTTCTGCATTTGCATGTACTAAATTGATACATTCTTCTTAAATGAATTACTATCTTCTGAAGTAGGTATTAATCCTTCTTTAGCAGGTTTGTAGATTTGGGGTTTCATGAAGTCAGTATTATTATTACAGTCCCCTTGATGCATAGTATGTGTCAATAAACATGTTTTTGCAAGTTAAATGTTTATCATCAACTTTCTTAGAAAAGTAGAAGTTATTTAATTTACCATTCAATGTGCACTTTTGTTATTACAAAGTTAAAAGAATCATTCCCAGCAATAAAATAAATATAGATGTAGATTTACAATGTAAAACCATTAAGTGATACAATAAGAAATATGTATTTGATCTTTGTACCCAGTACTTGATACAGAGCTTCTAAAATCCTTGGAATTTCCTGAGCGATAATGAGGTGACTCTTAGTGGTCACCTAGATAGCTTCAGGATGGGATCTAGTTTCCAGAAGAACCAACCATGTGATAAAAGGGTTAGAATTTTCAATCCCAGTGCCAGATCTCCTGGAAGAGAAGAGGAGCTGGGGAATTTCAATCCCCAATGGCCAGTGATTTAATCATTCATGCTTACATAATGGAACCTCCATAAAATCCCCCAAAGCTTCTGAGTTTGTGAGTGCATCAACTTGTTGGGAGGATAGTATGAATACAATGCTAACTCTAGGCAGCTAGTGATAGAATTGTGTTAAATATTGCACAACTCGGTGTTTGGAGAATTGAAGAATTGGTTGTTGATATTGAAGAAAATACCCTATATATTGTAGCAAGAATGTTCGTGCTGGACAGCTAAGCCTATATTTCCTACACATATTTCACTTAAACTATAATTTCTCCTGTTTGCCTCTGACATTGCTGTCTGGGGGTCTGGTACTTTCCTGCATTTTGGATGTCCATTGCATGGGACATGGCCCAACTAGCTAATCACAACTGGCAGAGGTAGTAGCATCAAGTACTTTTCCCACCGCTGCCCATGAGAAAAAAGTTGTCTAGCTGTTCCCAAATTATCTACTTCATTTTAGCAATGAGTACCCTGTATGTTGTCCTTGAAAGGGATCTGTTAATCATGGTGAATTAAGAAAGGGCCAGAAGAAAAAAGACTGGATATAATTAGCCATGTTATATAGGTGTCACCAAGTGTTAAAGTGGGAACTACCCACTGCAAATGCATCTAGCACACTACTGAACAAAACCATGGCAAAAATGGAAGTAAAATGTGAAGGTCTGTGGTAGGCTGAATAATGGTCCTCAAAGATATGCAAGTCCTAATCCCTGCAACCTGTGAATCTTATTTTACCTTATATGGCAAAATGGGACTTCGCAAATGTCATTAAATTAAGGGTTTTGAGATGGTGAGATTATCATGGATTATCCAGGTAGGTGCTAAATTAAATAGTAAGTATCCTTATAAAAGGAAGGCAGAGCAAGTTGCTACTCTGCTGGTTTTGAAGATGAAGGAGAGGTCCTTTAGCCAAGGAATGTAGCACTAGACACTGGAAAAGGTAAGAAAATGGATTTTCCCCTAGAGTTTCCAGAGGGAGCAAGATCCTGCCAACACCTTAATTTTAGCTCAGTAAAATTGATTTTGGACTTTTGGCTTTCATAACTGTAAGATAATTAATGTGTATTATTTTAAACCACCAAGTTTGTGGTTGTCACAGTAGTACTAGGAAACTAATGTAGGGTCTACTAAACACATTCTGGCTTACTCTAACATAAATATTAGTAACAGTAGTACACTGCTTACAAATGAATAATTTTGGAAAACGTTAAACTAGATGGGTTGCTAGGCCAATAGGCAATAATTAGGACTGCTAAGGGAAAATCAGGAGGTATTTTTATCCTAGAGGTAATTCATGTAAGGTCACTAGCACAGTGACTAGAAAATAGCAAAGGTTCAATTGGGTGAGTTTTCCTAGTTTCCTGGACAAGAAGACTATGCCTCTTCTAAAAAAAAATTTTTTAGATAATTGTAGATTTCCATGTAATTTTAAGAAATAATAGAGATCTCTCTTATCCCTTTACCTGTTTTCCTCCAATGATAACATCTTATATAACTACAGTACAGTATCAAAACAGAAAATTAACATTGATACAATCCACCAATCTTATTTGGATTTCACCATTTTGCATGCACTCATTTGTGTGTGTGTGTTTATTAGTTACATGCAATTTTATCACATGTACTTTCCCAGGTGGGATTTCATTAACCCCTACCTAGATATGAGAGGTGTTATTCAAAAGTTGGTCAGCATAGGTGACCCAAGGTCTACAATGTGCTTGCCCCCAGTATTCTATTGCAAAGTCTTTCTGCAAAGCCTCTTCTTTCTGGGTCAATTGTACACATTATTCCTGAGAAATTAACATCAAATATACAAACTGGGATGAGAAAGTATATGAAATAAAATGAAATGGGGTGATAGTTTTCTTTTTTGAACTCTATGAAACTATTTCAGTGATTTTTTTCTTTTTTCCTAAATTATCTGAGAAATTACATTAGCACAGAAAAATGATAAAGTTAATACATAATGGGAACTTGCACATTTCCCTTTCATTAAACACTTCCACGTAACACTCTAACTCTTAGGGTCAAGTGTTCTTAACCTATGTATGATGTTCTCCTTTACAATTCATGCGTTAATGGATAATTACTAATATTTTTCTTTCTCCAAGTGGACATTTCCAGTAAATATAAGCATCTAGATCTGAAAAGAATGATCTGGAATATAGATTTTGGTTAAAGTGTCTGGCAAATAATGTACATCCAATAAATATTTGTTGAAATAATTAATCTATGTATCAGTGAAAGTTATAAGCCTTAACACATTAACAGACCCTATATAAAATAGCAAAAAGAAGCCCAAATTTGTAAATAGTGTATAGGAGAAGAAATGTAGATGGGAAATAAAGACAAAAAATAAGATCTAACTCATTAATAATTTAATGAATGTAAATAAAAGCATCTAAATAGCCTTTTATCACCTATCATATGTGACAAAAATTAAGTGTGGTTATAGCCCAATAACATGGCCAAAAAATTAACAGAAAAATTTAAAAATTGCCTCTGTGTGTGGGGAGAGAGAGAGAGAAAGAGAGAGGGAAAGAACTTCAATATGAATCAAGGACATGGAAATACACCTATCAGTTAGAAATAAATTTAAATATGATTTCAAGTGCAGTGAAGAAATGAGAATTCTCATATACTTTTTGAAGAAGTTTAAATTATTGAGATCAAGTCCTAGAGAATATATATTTAAACATGTTATGTAGGGAAATTTTCTCATATGTGCAAATTTAAGATGGTAAGAGGACATTCACTACAATATTGTGTGAAATAGAAAACAAGAAATAAAACAAGAAGCAACCCAAAAGTTCAGCAATACAAAAAAATATGCAATAAAAATTAACAAAGGCATTT